TTGCAAGGTTACAGCAAATGAAAACTACTGTCCAGAAGTCTTTGTTTAAAGGAACTTCATAATTTAAAGCAGTGATGTGCCATGTAACAATGCAATATATGGAGATGCAATGGAAAAATAAAGCATCTTAGGCACAAAGCTGTCAAAGGTCCCACTTAGTTAAATAATAATAAAGCGTGTCATTTCTAAAAAGAGTAGAGGAGGAACTAAATACTGTCAGCTCAGCTATCACTTCAAAAAACATGGGCTTGCTGCTCAGAACAAATCAGGTGTGGGAGATACATAGTTTTGATATTGCTATAGACTGTCCCAGCATTGGTCTCTGCATGTTCAAGAGGAATGTACAAGGGGAAAAGCTATCAGGAAGAAAGTAAAGCAGAGTTCTTCTTTAAAAGATGTTTTATCTTTCTTTATACACACCACTCTGGATCTACATCCTTACTATCTATCCTGTCACCTGTGAAACATTTTTTACTGCATTCCTCACTTTTTTCTTCAAGTGCTGGTAGCATGTATTCAGACTGCACAATGTCTGCTCCTAGCAATCACTCACTAAGCATTAAGGTGGATCCCCAGATACCATGATGCCTTGCACAAACTCAGACTTCTACTTCTTATGCTGAAATTTTCCTTACCTGGTAGCAGGTCTCAGTTTTGGTTTCAAAGTTGAATACACCGAACAGTGTAGTAGACTCTGGTAACTTGTGGTTCGACCACCATCTTCAGAGCAGTTAGTCAGCTTTTCTGTTCTTGAGCCAAAAGTGTATGGACAGATGTGAAAAATAAGCATCGTTTATTGCTCCATTTTACCTTAATCAAGAATGAGATCAAGTCATGAAGGCTTCCCAAATAACCAGTAGTAACAATGTTAATAATTTCAAGCACAAGCATTTTTTAATTATAATTTTTTTACAGAAATCACCTAAAGGCAATTTACCTGCTCTAATGGCACCCATGTTATCTAGAGTACGTGTTTTTTAGTAACATCTTCATTGAACCTACTACATTCCTGAGGCATCCTTTTTAAAGGGGTCCTTACAGTGGATGTGCCCAGATGTTGCAGCAGCAGATGTATTTAATGCACTTGTCTAACACCTGACTATGTCACCAGCCTCTGAATCTGAATATCAGTCTCTCACGGGTTTAGATAAATCCAGTAAATCTTGCCTGCTTTTTGAAGCTTTGCAGTCACTTAAAATCATTGCTAGACATGGCTGATTTGTGAAGAATACTATCACACTGCAGGCATGTGATCCAGAGCTGGGGAGATTTTCCCTCCGGCCCTACAAAGGAAACAAAAACCAGCAGCCTACAGTATATAGTACGTCTTTCAATCTCTGCCTACATGATTAAACTCTCCACTAAGACTAGGTAAACTCTGAACTAGCAAGGATGCTTTTAATTTATTTATAACGTTTTTAATTTTAATTAAAATTTTCAAAGTTTCTATAAATAGCAAACATCTGTTTAATAACAAGGTGACTAGAAAATAAAGATGTAAAATGACAGTTTGTAGGGTGAAGCTAATATATGTGCTGCCTTACATCTTAATAACTATTTCTTTTATTAAAATTATAGAACTAGTAAGGTTCTGAAATTTGAGATAAAAGACTAGAAAGAAAAGAAAAATTTCCTAGATGTAAGCATTACAAAGTTTTTGCACTTCCTTGCTTTGGTGTGATTCTGGTATGAAGGAGACCAGAGGAAGAAATGAAGTAATATTATTCAGAACACTTTTAACTTACAGTGACAGGCAAATGGAAACAATTTGAAGTAGGCTGGAAACTCATTCACTAAAATATTCTAGTTCAGCAGTTTTGTATGGCAGTGAAATCATAAAAATGTAACAGAAATATCATGCTAGCTCAAAATGTTTCATTTCTGTAGAACTGGTTTCCCGTTTGTAGTCCATACTGCAAATGGAAAGACCCAAGAAAAAGAAAAATAGGAAATTGAGACTTAGTCATGACATGTAATCTTATTAATCAAGTGAATAAATGCTGATGGAAGAAACTAAAAATTATTCTAAGAAATTAATGAATTAAAAATGGATTACATGTTACTTAAAGATGTACAACAGACGATAACCTTCAGTGACATTCAGTTATCGCTTAGTGAAACATCTTATTCTGATGCGGTTTAGGACCACAATTATCACTGCTACTAAACATCATAGCTGATTTTTGTCTGTATCTTACTATATCTTACTCGACAAGTCTTTTTTTCTCCTGATTTGATCCTCTTTTAAAAATACAGCAGAAACATAAACCTTTCCCCCAGTCAGTGACTCACCAATTTCTAGTCCCTGTTTATTTCTGTAAATTTTAACTGATTTCAAGTTGCAGGAAAATGAGACAGAGACTACACATGTAGGGTTTTTTTTATCTTAAAGCTGGCATCATTCTTTGGAGCAAAATATTTGATGTAGCAAACTACATCTTAAGAATTGTAGTGATTATTTAAGACATCAAAAGGAGTTTAAATTGTTTATTTGCCTGTTTAAAAAAATGTTTTTTTAACTCATTCTGCTTGCAAGTACCCACAGTTACTGAGGATGTGCAGTACACTCGTAGGAGTCATTTTACCAGCACTGTAATTTTTTGCAAGAATTCTGAGGCACTATCGAGGCTTCAGAAGGCAGTTTTGTGCACACCTGGTCTTTGGTGAGTGCAGATGGCGCCTCTCTTTTTGCTGCTCTGTACTGCTCTGTACTGCTTTTTAGGAAGATCACGTGGCACCTTTTCGCCTCTTTTCCCATGATACAGTAGGACCCAAGTACATGATGTAAGCCCACCAGCCCCATGGAGTTTTTCCCCTTCCTTCAATGTCCCTTGAGAGCAAACAGGGAAGAGTTGTGGGACCAGGCTCTCCCACTGGGGACAGTGAGAAACATGATCTGAACAAGACAACCTGCCACCCTACTCAATGAATCCTCAGTTTGGGACCCTCCTTTGATTGCTCCCTGATTAAAATGGCCTTTTTGCTTCTCAAGAGCAGCTGGTGGCAGCAAGCACAGCTCCTCTGTGCTGGCTGGAGCTGCCAAATCATAAGCAGCAGGCAGCACAGCGGGCAGTACAGGGATGAAAAGGTGCTAACTCCCGTGGTTGAGCCCCACATCTCCCCCTGGCCTTCTGCCTTTCTTCAGTTTGAGAACCTTGATGTTCACTCATCAAATCTTAGAAAGCCCAACATGATGTTTTTCCTTCATCCAGGAGATGTAAATGCTCTGTTAAATTAAGCACTGTGACTGGAAAAACCAGCCATGATGCTGGTTTTATTTTTTTTAAAGAATGGCTGTGTCTAAAAAGCCAAAGTGCAAACTGTTCACAACCCATTACCCAGCAATGAAGCCAGGAAAACTACTCCCAGGGGAAGGAGGTTTGGGGAAAAATTGGTATTTATGTTCTATTGTGAATTAATTTGTCACACATTTACAAAGGGACATGATACACATAGAAATTTCTTTTTACAATAAAGATTATGATTCAGACTAGACAAAAACAAACAGTTGATTAACACAGATATTCCCATCTTAATCTATACATACATAACATTACTCTAACACTTTTGTGCTTTTTTTTTTCCTTTTAATATGATCTCCTTAGAAGGCATATTATTCCTCAGACAAACTAACACAATTTCTCAAGTTATCTCAGGATAGTTATTTCAAAAGAAAATGCAATAGTTCATAATAAACATTTATAATCAGGTTTTTAACAAAGTAATTCATCATATAAACAAATGAATCAGTCAAGACACTAAATAAATATTTGTACTGGTAAATACTAGCATTTTGCTTATATCATGTAGGACCTGATCCTGCAAGCCCTCTGTATACATCTTTATCCCCACTGAATGATTGGTTTCATTGCTTGTTCTAATCTACTATTTTACTTAGAGCTGAGCAAATACTTTCTGGCCACTAAGTAATTGAAATAACCACTGGAATACATCCCAGTAGACAATGATTTCCTTAGATGTCTTTGTCAGTCATTAGGTATTTTCTTGTTTACTAAATCATCACAACCATTTATCAACAGGCAATCAGTTTTTGATATTTACAGTCATATTGGTTGATTGAGATTTTTAAAATATATCACATTCCTTGTTCTTGGCATTTTTAATGAACAAAGTGTTATTTTATCACTCAATTTGAAGAGCAATTTCCAAGAATTATACTATAAGTGATACTGAATTTTTCTTTTATCAGACATTTGAGCTAACAATACTGGGCTAGGAAGGCAAGAGCCTCCAGTAAAATAATAAGACAAGAGCTCTGCTTGAGGAGGGCTAGTACAAACATGAATTACTCTCTCTGTTGTCATCTACCACAATTACTACCTTATCCAGGGCAAGGGAATGGCCTTTTTTAAAGCACACAACAAACTATGGCCAGCCCTTTAATTCTGAGTTAACTCAATCCTTGTCAGGGTTTCCTTTTTCTTTGCATGACAAGTCCAGAACAGAGAACCACAGATAAGAGACATTAACTGACCTACATATTCTCTTCATGGCTTAGGAAATTATCTGACTATCCTCACACAAACAGATGTGCCAGTGAATTCCAATCTCTTATTTGTTTTGGGGGGTTTTGGTTAGGTTTGTTTTTTGGATTTTTTTTTTTAAGGAAACACAGAAGCTGTCAGTTACAGCTGAAAAACAAAACTTTTTCTTGCCCAGCTCTATTTGAAATATAATTTGAAATCAAGGGTACTGAGGTTACTAGATGTACCCACTGAAATAAGTTTAGCTGAATTCTGATGGTTTCCTGAATGTCTCTAAGCTCTTACCACAGTATAACATGAAATGTTCCAAGCATGTGGCAAAAAATAATGACCATTGTAACAAATCACTGCCTGAACTAAAAAGTGGAATATACTTTGAAATTACTCTCTCTATATATCTATATATATATATATAGGGATATACACACACGCACACACACACACATATATATCCCTATATAAATGTTTTTTTTCAAATACAGAAATTTATTTTATTATTTCTCCTGTTTGTATTACTTTAAATACTTCATGAATCCACAATATGACAGCTTCAGGCTGTTTGGAGAGATAAATCTGAACACAGTCTTATAACCTCCACTAATATAAATATATTGGCAAGGAACTTTGACCAGCAATAGTAAATTTTGAAACTTAAATAACTATTCTACAGTTACTTTAATTTTAACAACAAGTTGCTACCAAATACCAATATTCATGAAAAATGTAAAACAAAAAATAGAGCTTTAACTTTTAACACTGAAGTGCAGCCTTATGAAAGGAATGTAAAAGAAAATTATGCATTAGAGACTCATTCTAAAAAGAGAAAGAGCAACTTATAGTATGTGTTTCAAAGTAAGAACACTGTATGCTTGCACTTTATATTAAATGACCATGTTGAGTCATAGTTTCTTCTTGCCTGCAAATGAAGGATGTTGGCTCAAAAATCTTCAAAGTGTACATGAGCATTTGATTAAATCCTTTTTGTTGTGAAAATAAAGTCATTTACACTTTGACTGAATAACAGTGAGGAGTTTCTTTTAATAATAAGACATTTAAGGACCTTGGTAGCCAGTACCAGTTGCATTTGCAAGTAGCTCCTCAGCTTTACTCTTATTTTAAAAAATAAAGGTACAATTATAGTTATTCATTTACTTTAAAAATTCTAAAGATGAAGAAAAGTAGCGTTTATACATATAAGTCCTCATATAAATTATAAAACTCAAGTTTATCTTAGAGAGTTCCATCCCCAGAAGAAGCATAAAGCACTTTTGTGGTACCTTCACCAGTAAATATTTGTATCACATCAAATCTGAGAAATGCAACAAAGATGATACTGAATCCAAAAGCTGAAAGACAACATTCTTCTAATACAGTCTCATGTGATGAATATGCTCCATGGGCTTGTATGATTTCCATGACTAGACTGATTTTCAAATAAAGGAAATATGAAGAAATTCACCTCACTAGTTCAGTAGGTATAAGAAACATCAGTGAACAGCAGAGTCATCCCATTTGAGGTCAACAGTCTTTGGAAGACTACGAGGAGGGAGTTTAAAACTACAACAGCAAAATCAAATAATAGCAATGAGGTAAACTCCCCTAAAAAGGCCAAATAGGCTGAGTTGTCAGGAGAGAGTCCAATTGTATCTGACACCCAAATGTTTCTGTAGCCAGAGTCCAGCGAGCTGCATGGTAGAGGCAAATGTACTTGCTTTGGACCCTAAGCACATTTTATATTGTTTTGGATCTAAATTGGGGTCACACTGAACAGGATGAAAAACATGGACAACTCCTACTTCCTGACTTCTGAAAGCCTTCAAGCCAGATGTTATCACTTTAGTAAAGAGATCTACATCCTCAAGTCCCCAGCCTTGAATCGAGGTATCAAATCCACCAGCAGTAAGTAGATCACTTTTGTAAATACAGGTAATTCCAAATCCATACTCCCTCCAAAATCCAGTTCTTTTTGAGAAAACAAAACTACTGTCAGGGGGAGGGTTGCCTCCATATATTACTTTTGGATCATACTGGCTGAATATGATAGGGTAGTAAACCTGTTCTCCCTGAATAGTGTTATCTCTGCATCGCTGGAGGAAGTCTGATGTGAATACCAGATCAACATCACAGAACAGCAGCAAAGTGTCATTGTCAAACTGAGACGAGGCCATCTCAAGACCTAAACCTCTAGAAAACTTTCCTGACATTGGAATCAGGGTCATATCTGCCTTGGGATACTTAATGCTGTATTCTTTCATTAGTTCTATGTGTTTGCTAGAGTCTTGGCCTGATTCAGAACTGAAGAGAATTATTGCCAACTTTACATTCTGCTTGGGAATCAGACAAGTCTTCTCAAAATTATCCATGAATCTTGAGAAAGTATCAAATCTTCCTGTGATAGGGACAAGAATATGTATTTTCTTGTCACTGTGTCCCCGAACGTCTTTGGTGCCTTGGAATGATGAGGAAAAAATCTTTAAAGAATTTGAAAGGAAAGAGAAAGATTGAGTGTCAGTGTTGGCGTCCTCCAGCAAGCTTTTTACATCCAGCTCCTCTGCTTCTTTGAAGAAAGGTTTGCTAAACAATTGCTGAAGGTAAGCATGGCGTCTCACTGGAACTGTAACTTTCCTTCCTTTGTGCCTTTTGTACAAAAGCAGTAAATCCAGGATGTACTCTACTCCATGCAGAGGGTCTACCCTGCGGTATCCATACTGTATTTCCTTGAAATCAATGAGCCTTCCTCTAGATCTGGAGTTCTCATTTATCATTTCCATGACTTGCATCACAGTATCATCCAGCGCAGCCCGCAGGACGCTGCTCAGGCTCTGCCGGGGTGGCTGGTTGTCCACCATTGAGTAAAGAAACTTTCCTGTCAGGAACTCCCACTCGATGACTTCATCCCTTTCATGTGGCTGGAAATTATTGAAAGACGGCACCACTCCCAGTTGCTGATCTTCCTTATTTACTTCAGTGTTACTGAGCTTGCTCATCAGAACACTTTCTCGATGGAGCTGGATGGTCCGATGGCGCAGTTCGGAAATTTTGCGACTCAGTATGTAATTGTGCAGCCTGTATTGGTAGGCTGGTCTTTTGTTTGGATGAAGTGTTATGGCTGTGTGGATCTTGCTGTTGTGAAGATCTTGAATGTAACCCTTGCGGTTGTGTTCATAGTTTTCATGGAACAATTGCTGCATCTAGAAAAAGAGAGAGAGAGGTATAGGGGGAAAGAGACATTAAGTTGAAATTCTTCTACACAAAAAAAAGGACACACATTGTTACTTGTATAATTTCCAATTCTTATAGATCATGTTATTTTTAGGCATAGAATTTTAAGGCATTCAGTAGAAAATAGTTACATTGCTTTGGTCTGAGTTTCAGTAGTGTCCACAGTAAGCAAATACTGTCCTCTGTCTAAAGAGAAGGTCAGCTATCTTGGGTTTATCTTCAATTCATCCAACTGCAGAACTAAGGGAAATGCTTAGGCATAGGTCTGTGGGCAATATTTCTGAGTTCATAGGTGCTATTCATGAACCACTGACTTCACTTCAATCTAAACCCCAATTAGCACAGATCCTTAATGAAAAGTTAGCAAAATTCACAATTTTTTAAAAAGCACCCTGTATTTGTGTTTATGGAGCACAAAGCTGATTGTACTGATATATAAAAATAGATAGTGCTGCTTGATACTCAAAAACTGAATGGCCTTAATAAAACTTTTTTTTTCACGTTGACAGAGGATTCCATAATTGAAAGAAAACAGTTTGAATATACATTTTCTAAGGTACATATATAATAGAGTATGTCAATTAAGCAGTTGACTGTGATAGTGATTTCCAGTTTATTTCAGTAGCAAGAAAATACATTCTACTTCTGTCAAATTAGCAACTGTGATATAGTGAAGAGGTACATTTTATGGCTGACAGGTCTAGGATCCAAAGTATCTGGCCTTTATACTTTCTGTGCTGACAACAGAACTATAAGAAAATCATAAAACTATCTTTGACTCAATTTCCACCCTAGAAGACAACTCATTATTAATGAGTATTTATTCTTAAATGGGAAATTATATGGAATAGCAAAATATTGACATCATAAATATATTTAAAACCTGCTGCTCTTTGCTAACACCTACTAACACCAGAGAATTATTTCCCATGACTAGCAGATAAAGGAGAAAAGACTGGGCTTTTTTAATTTGCAAAGAGATTGGTCTGTAATTAATACATAAGGAAAATATGCTAATTAGATAAAAAATGTTGCTCAAGAATGTGCTGTAAACTTGAGCTGTAATCAGATCCTGAGATGGGTATTGAAGTTTGTCTTTTATACACTGAAGAAATCAAATTCTGATTGCACAGTATATTAGACTCAAAACATTTAGCTCATTTTACTTCAATTCTTTCAAGAACAGAAGTTTTGCTACTGGAAGTAGCATTAAGAATAGGACAATAAATATAAAATAACACCTAACAAAGCTAAGAATCATGAAAGCTATGTAAAATTCATCAGTATGTACATGTTCATTAGCATGTACAAGACTATTAACATATAACTGTATAACATTATCGCATTTAGAAAAACAGAATTTCAACATAGAACTTTTAGAATGCCCCTCCCATCTCATTCAGACTCTAAATGCCTCTGCTTGAGCAAACACAATTGCTGCTATGACACAGATTAAAATTTTTGAGGTTAGTCACATGCAGAAAAGCAACAGACCCATTCTGAGAAATACCTTAAACTATGTTAAATTATCCTCTAATAAAGCAGTACCTCTGTTACATTAAAGTGAAGATGAATGTAAAAAAACCATACAAAATTACAACATGACTCATATACACCTTATTCACAGAATTCCTTCCTAAAGCTGAGAACATTTGTTCTGTCTTTAAATGTGGGTGTTTTGCTTGTTACATGAGATGAGATGAACCAGGGATAAGAGGGTTTAAGTGATTTCTTTGTAATCACAGATAACAGGAACCAAAATCATCAGGCCTGTTAGTATTTTAATTAGCAGTCCTGGGAAAACTGAAATATGGCTGTCTTGTGGACTAGATATGGTTGCTGGCAGGACAGATGGATTAGAGATTGAAAGGGAAAACAGTGTCTAGGAAAGAGCTGGGTGATGATATTTGCTCTTTGGAAAAACAGCTTTCTCTTCTCTCTCTACAATTTACATTTTGAATAATGAAAAAAGAACAGCTGATCTGGCTGGATTTCCAGCTCTCCACTTAAAACTTACACTTCCTTCCTGGTTTGTTTTACTTAAAGTTGTATGCTGTGAATTTTGCAAGGCGACTATGCTTCTGTATTGTCCACTTTTTCTGTAAAAAGCTGAAGGCATGATTTTTACATCTAGAATTTCATAGTAAAGTCTTCTTAAAGGAAAATAAAATGTATAATGTTGAAAATGAAAGAAGAGGAGATGGTTTGGCTGGCTTTCTTTTCTAAGTTGTCTAATGAAGAATGCTATATGAGTATAAATGAAATTATGAGTATAAATGAAACAACCATTAACTTTATACATTTACAACCATTAATACCTTACACATTACATTTAAAGTACATAATTTTTCATAGTTAAGTACATAAAAGTTATATGTAAAGTAGCAAAATGTGTTTTACTTAAAAGATTTGAAACAAATGACATATTATTGCTGCAAAGCTAAATGCTGTCCTCCAACTGTGCAAATTCTTCTGTAATCCTTGACTTATTACAAAATCAGCTTTACAGAAGATTCATTAGCAGTACTTATTTAACAGAAATATTCTGTTGACATAAATACTGCATTTTTTGCACATTCCAATTTCAGATGCCTGTGTTTATTTGATATGCTCCACTGAAATCACTCCATTATAATAAGGATTTTGCTTTTGATAATCAACAACAGATTAAAAGTAGCAATGAAAAAATTCAATCAACTCAGTAATGCAGTACTATCACATATATGCAAAACTCTACTAATCCATTTTCAGTTATGTTACTGAAAACTTTTAATAGATCCCAGTTTGGAGAAAACAGAACAAATGTGACACTGAAAGCATCAATACTTCCTGAAGATAGCCTGTTTTAATCTTGGTGCAGAAATTTGTTCTCAATGTTGCAAGAAAAAAAAATCTTTTTACAATTCAGCTTATTAACATCTAAGTGAAAGCAATTCAATTTGATCCTAAATATGCTTTGAAATTTCTCAGCAAGGTGGTCAAGCCCAGGAGGCAAAGGGAAGGATGATTAAATTTCCTGGAAAATAGATTTGTGTGAGAGTCTAAATTGAAAAAAATGCAGTCATAAATTACCTTGCAAAGCAGGTGGGTTTGGGAAGTGGTAAGATTTATTGACTATAAATTAAAATTATTCAGCATAGTAAGAGTAAACCTTCCTACAGAAGTTTTCATGATTTTGAATGGCAAGGTAATAAAATACCAGATTAAATTCCGTGTAGATAAATGCAAAGTACATGTAAGGAACACAATCCTAGTCCTATCTGAAGAATGGCAGACTGTGCAAGTTATTTGGACTCTGGAAAGAGAACCTAGTGCACACAGTATGCAATTCTGTGTAGGTGTCACATGGAGGTTCAGTAGTGAAGAAAAGAAAAGCAAATAGCATGAGGACAAGTCTAGAGAGAATCAGAAGCCTCATTACATGGTTGTGTCCATAGCACACCAGCATCTTGAAGACTGTGGCCAAGCACCTTGTCAGTATCCTCCCATCTGAAACTGATAACATAGAATTATAGAATGTTAAGGGTTGCTAGGGACATTAAATATCTAGTTCCAACAACTCTGTCATGGGCAGGGATACCTTCCACTAGATCATGTTGCTCAAAGTATCATCCAACCCCACCTTTAACAGTGTAAGGGTTGGGATATCCACAATCTCCCTGGACAACCAGTTCCAGTATTTCACCACCCTCACAGGAAAGAATTTCTTCCTAATGCCTAGACTAAGTTTTTCCTCTTTCAGTTTGTACCCATTACTCCTTGTTCTATCAATACAATTCCTGAGGAGTTGCTCTCTCACTTCCCTGTAGGTCTCCAGATTGTGGAAGGCTGCTATAAGGTCTCCATGCAGCATTCCCTTCTCTAGAGTGAGCAGCCCCAACTTTGTCAGCCTGTCTTTGTACCTCTTACCAACTTCGTGTCCTCCTCTGGACTTGCTCCAACAGTTCCATGTCCTTGCCATGTTGGGGGCACCAGAACTGGCACTCCAGATGGGATGTCACCAGAGTGGAGCACAGGGGCAGGATCCCCTCCCTGGCCCTGCTGGCCACACTGCTTTGGATGCAGCTCAGGATCCCACTGGCTTTCTGGGCTGGGAGTACATGTGGCCAGGTCATGTTGTTTGTCATCAACCATCATGTAGTACAAAGGTACTAACCAAGGCTAGACAACGATTACACATCTCGATCATTAAACAAACAGATAACTAGGGAAAAAGGGACTAATACAAAGATGGCCAACCCCAAGATCAGAGTGGAGTCAGAGTAAGTGAGCACCTAAGAAAAATTGATAGGAATGGTACCACTTCTCACATAAAGAAGTATGACACTTAAAAGGTTGCACTGAAGACACAGAAACAGAAATAATCACTTAGCTCAAGCATAGCTCTTACAATTACAGCAAGGTGCTGACGGTAAAATTTTGGATCACTCTAAACAGGGAGGCAACAGCTTAGTGGGAAACTCCAATTATTGCTATCTAGAATTCCTGGAGCCGCAGCTGAAGATATACCACAATATTTCCTTATTGTCCTGTACCCCTGCCTCAGCTTCTCCTACTGAGAGATGATTTTGCCAAATGAACATTTAGTTTGACATGATACATGCAATTCACATTCACTGAAAGCAGAGAATGGGAGAATTTGTCTTCAGTATAATTCATGGAGGCCCAGCATTTTACCTTTTCATATTGCCTGACTTTGTGACTTTTCTGAGTAATTTTCTGTCTTCTGAATGATTCTTACAGCACAACTAATGTGAGAGTTGGCATAGACTTCTGCTTGCTTTTTCCATGCCAGCTGAAACTAGAAGTTGGCAAGAAATACTAATGATCTAATCATGCTCTGAGGAACTCTGAACTGCAAGCAGGAATTAAAAAAATTATAAGAAAGAAATCAGAATAAAGGCAATGTTTTATTATTGTGGCAGAAAAATACAATAGCTAATACACAAGCACAAAGTAATTTGCATTG